GTATCTGAGGCGGTTCCCACGAGGTCCTCGACACAGATCTCATATTCGCAGGACTGCAGTCCTCTTTTGACACCCTTTTATTTATTTATTTATTTATTTATTTTTATTTTTTCCTTTTTTTTAGTGTATGGTTTGAGCCTTCAGACTCAAGCTCTAACTTTGGCGCATGACAGGCAGCACAAGCCCCGAACCGCCCTGGTCGCTGAGGACCTCGGAAGCGGGCGCGGTGAGTGACAGGCGCCGTTGCCCTTGGCTTCAGCGAGCGGTAGGCGACCCCTCCCCGGGTTTCCTCACACCGGGGTGGTTTTTGTGAGGTCGAAGCCCCCGTCCCCGGGTCTGCAGGTTTCGGTCCATCCAGGTTGAGGGTTGCGGTTTCTTGGGGGGAAGGCCATTGCTGTCGTGCACCCAGGGGGGGGGGGCGGGTGAAGGGCACGAGGTTGCCTGCTTCGTGATTGCTGGTCGGCTATACGGGCAGATCGCGAGTTGCCTCCCCATATTGTGTCTCAGGGCTCCCTGGTAAAAAATGAGGGACCCGGGTCCCCTGGCCCTTCTATACCCCAGCTTCATCCCGCAAGTTGTGCGGGGGTTGTGTGATGTGGAAGAACCCCTGTGCACTGTGTGACGAGGAAGAGCCTGTGCGTTCTCTGAGCTGTTTGTTGGTACTTACCAATCTCTAAGTTGTGCCAACTTACATTCTAACAGCTTCGTTTTCTGGATCATGACCACCTGTGAAAGACACCGTACTTCGTACGGGCCCCTGGTCTTACAGCCGTACAGACGGTAGTATGGCCGTATGAACGGTCCCCTACAAAGTGACAAAACCCACAAAAAAAAAAAAAAATGATGAATATATATGTATATATATGGGGATGTAAAGCTTTTCGTGCTCTACACCCCCGTGTTTTTTATTTTATTTTTTAGTCTTTTTTATATTTTAAAAAAATAAAAATAATCAAAACGGGAAAAAAAAATAAAATAAAGAGGGAGAGAGAGAGAGAGAGAGAGAGAGAGAGAGAGAGAGAGTGTGTGTGCATGTGTGTGTGCGTGTGAATGCTCGTGTGTGAGTGTGTGTGTGTGTGTTCGTGTGTGTGCGTGGGTGTGTGTGTGTCACAGTGTGTATGTGCGTGTGTATGCGTGTGTGCGTGTTGGTCTGCCCATCAGATGGCAAATGACCAGAGGCAGATTGGATTCCTGCAAAAGGAGGATTCACTGCACTCCCACCCTCCAGAGCAGCTGATTCGTCCATGTCTGCTCAATCAACACTTACACACCGGAAGAAAGGGTCGGACGCAAGGTTACACGTTCTGGGCATGCTGGGATGCAGATTGGCCAAAAAGGTGGCCAAGACACCTGGGTCAACCACCACTTGTGATGAAATATCATCCGATACTTGGACAAAGGCATCCAAAGGGAACGACCCTAAGCCCACTCTCCTCAGGTTTGCCCATTTCTCATAAAAGAACCACGCGTCAATGAAGACCACGGTATGTCGAATAATACGGTCGTTTTCTAATACGACTCTGATCTTTGGCATGCAGAATTCCAGGAAAATCCGGAATTCTAGTCTATCTGCATAGAGGTATCTCGCCCTATCCATAATCAGAGTTGGTATGAGAGCCTCCGATAAACC